ACAAGGAAAAGGATGAGAAGGAAACACCAAAATGTTATCAGTAACTCTAGTTAGGTGACAATAAACTTTTTTTTTGTTCCTAATTCTCCTTATTTTTTTTTCAAGCCTGAAATGGATTCAAATAAATATTTACCCTCTTATCATCATCTTGCTTGGGTTTTCTGGTTTTCTGAAGCAATTTCAGTCCTTCAATTTGTCTGACAAGCAGTGGTATAGTCATCTTGAATCGCTCCTCCAGGCTCACAGCATCTAAAATCTAAGGAAATGTGAGTCAATTAATAGGATCTCTCTTAGAAACACACAATCCAAAAACAGGCAGTCAGAGCCATGGCTTAAATTGCCAAGTTAAAAAAAAAATTCTTATCAGTATTCACACCACACTATGGCTAAAACAACCAAATGAACTATATTAATCAGCAAGGTTGTTTGAGACGAATATCAGAATCCTTAAAAGAGAAAGAAAAAAACAGGATCTTGGTTTTTCACTTCAAAATGAAGTTGTGTGTTTTTAAGATTAAAAAAAAAACAAAAAAAACAAAAACAGACACAGTTCAAGAGAACAGACGCAGTAAACAAACTCTCACTAGTTCCTGAAATAAAACACACCGCCGCCACCCACAGCCAGGGGGCTCTCTGATAGTCCTGTAACTCTTCTCCCACCGGTTTAACTGAATTCCTGTATACAACCAACCTGTTTGTATTAGTTGTGTTTGCTACTATAAAGGTTGGATTGAAGTATTAAATAAACTGATAACATAGGAAAGAGCTGTTTCAATGAAAACAAACAAATGTTCTAGGATGATTCAATAAAAAAGACTGCTTTAAAAGTACCTTAAAAATAAGTGTGCAAGAAAAAAGTATTAGAGTTTGTGTATTACGTCATGTAAACCTAGGATTCTATACTTGGATTACTTTTCAAGTATCTTTAAAATTCATTTCATTTTAAATAAATAGAAATTTAAAATAATAAGTCATGCATCATAGGTGTGATTTATATAAGAAACACTATGAAGATTCTAAGAAAGCAGATCTACACACAAGGGAAGGGCCGTGGCTCCACATTTAAAAATAGTGACTCAAAGAATGTCTATATATTTAAGTTAAATTCAATATTTACCTTTTTTTTTTTTTTTTTTTTTTGAGACAGAGTCTCTGTTGCCCAGGCTGGAGTGCAGTGGCATGATCTTGGCTTACTGCAGCTTCCACCTCCTGGGTTCAAGTGATTCTCCTGCCTCAGCCTCCCAAGTAGCTGGGATTAGAGGCACGCGCCACCACGCTCAGCTAATTTTTGTATTTTAGTAGAGATGGGATTTCACTATATTGGCCAGGCTGGTCTCGGACTCCTGATCTCAAGTGATCCACATGTCTCAGCCTCCCAAAGTGCTGGGATTACAGGTGTGAGCCACTGAGCCCAGCTAAATATTTACCTTTTTATGATTCTTTAACTTTTTGGGTAAATTGACTACTAGTATTGATTACGCAAATAAAAGAGCTGCTCATGTGAATAAAAATATGAAACAATCACAATTGAAAGTCAATTTAAATGTAAAAGCATTTCAACTACCTTGAGTCTCCAGTATCTTTTTCTGGAAGGTCAAAACTTAATTACTCACTATCTAGATCTCAATAAAAAGTGACAAAGCAACCTAGCGTGCAAGAAGGGAACACTGTACCTGGAGTTTCTCTTTGTTGCTTGTTCGGATAATCGATGTCAAGATGTCTGGTAAAGCTTCCCTTGGAAGACTATCTAAAAGACGTCTCAATTTAGCAACTGCAGGGACAGACATATCCAACATTTCAACCAACTAGAAGGGGGAAAAAAAGTCTTTTAAATGAAATCTGGCATTATTTGTGAATTTTTAAAAATCAGATTTCCATCTAGGTTTAATGTTTGAGCCTCCATCTTTGTTTTTGAAAGATCACTGATTAATATAGCCCAGGTATTTTACAGGCCTCAGAGGAAAAGAAAAGTACTTTCAAAATGTCAATCAGAATGAAAAGCAATATTAGTTCTAAAGTAGTTAATATTAATGTTTAAAAAGGTTTTGTAAACTTCTTCCATCATTTTTAACTTTCTATTGAAAAAAAATTCAAATGTACAAAAAAGTTGCAAGAATCATACAATAACTCCTGTATATCCTTCTCCCAGATTCACCAATTGTTAGCATTTTGCCACATTTGCTTTCTCTCTTCACTCACACATTACTGAAAATTTGCGGTTAAGCTGCAGAATCGAGATCCTTATTCTTTCTTTAAATCTCTAATCCTATGACAGATTAAGGACCCTTGTTCTTAAGAACAAGAATATTCTCTTACATAATCACAATAGAATTATTAGATGTACATTATTAGAAATACGTGTATTATTAGAAATTTGGCATAGTTGACACTATTATCACGGCCAATCAGAAGCTGAAATATTAATATTTAGTATAACATTTGTGTGTTAGTCTGTTTTCACACTGCTAATAAAGACATACCCAAGACTGGGTAATTTATAAAAGAGGTTTAATCGACTCACAGTTCCACATGGCTGAGGAGGCCTCATAATCATGGAGGAAGGCAAAGGAGAAGCAAAGGCCCGTCTTACATGGAGGCACGCAAGACAGCATGTGCAGAGGCACTACCATTTACATAACCATCAGATCTAGTGAGACTTAATCACTACCACGAGAACAGTATGGGTGAAACCAACCCCATGATTCAATTATCTATATCCGGCCACGCCCTTGACACATGGGAATTATTACAATTCAAGGTGAGACTTGGGTGAGGACACAGCCAAACCATATCAGTTTGGACTAACTAGAATACGAGCACTGACTATGAATGATTTTTAGAAAAACTGCCAGGGTATACCTGGGAGTTACGATAGATTAAGCCCAAGGCACACTTTCAGTAACTGTGGTAGTCATTAGTGCTACTGACAAACTCCCCTTCTCTTCTGGGTACTGATCTTTATAACTTCCTTTGAATATTAATATATTCAACATGTGTCTATGAGTATTAAACTGACCCATGAAACACAGTGGAAGTGGCAGTTCCTTTGGAGCAGAAGCATTACAAGCCAATGAGAGATGCGCCCCATTTTCTTTTCCTGCCTCAAAGATAAGGGAAGTATGTCTTGAGATGAATCTCCAATCCAACTAGGTCCAAGTGACTCTAACAGGCAGATACGACCCCCACTAGTCTCAGGCATGAAGCATGAGCAAGAAAGACCCTCATGTTACGTGACTGAGATTTCAAAGTAGTTAACACAGCAAAACTTAGTTCACACTAATTCACAAATGATATATTAAATCCTCATTTAGTCAATTCAAATAAGATTTCTTGTGCTAATAATAATCAAATCTCTCCAACAACATTGTAATTTTGGAACCTATCCATTAGCTGCCTAGAATCAAGGGAATTAAAGTATAATTAAGATGAAGCTGTTCAGGTAGAAAAAGCAGATAATGAAATCTGAATACTCTTGCTACTGTGAATTCACCCTATGAAAACAAAACAGTTAAAACTCATTTTCCAAACATTTACTGAGTACAAACTATTTGCCAGGCCCAATACACTGCTCAGCATAGGATGGCTAAAGGAGAAAAATGAATTCAAGTTTGGTAAAGAAAAAATACCTGTAAGATACATTTCAATACAATGTGATAAGCATTATGTTAAATGATACATATGATGGACTGTGAAGGCACAGAAAGGAACGCTAACAGCCTGTAGGTGTTGGGAAAGCATAGATTCAATTTTAAAATTCAGAGATGTAGGCCGGGCATGGTGGGTCACACCTGTAATCCCAGCAGTTTGGGAGGCTGAGGAGGGCGGATCATGAGGTCTTGAGTTTGAGATCAGCCTGGCCAACATGGTGAAATACTGTCTCTACTAAAGACACAAAAAATTAGCTGGGAATGGTGGCGCGTGCCTGTAATCCCAGCTACTCGGGAGGCTAAGGCAAGAGAACCACTTGAACCCGGGAGGTGGAGGTTGCAGTGGGCCGAGACTGTGCCACTGCACTCCAGCCTGGGCAACAGGGCAAGACTGGGTCTCAAAAAAAAAACAAAAAAATTCCGAGATGGAAGAGCACTCCCAGCAGAGAATGGAAGACAGGATTATAGAGACATGAAATAACTCAATGCGAAGCTCTTTTACATTCAGTAGAGTTAGAATTAGGGTGTCAATGAGGTGATAACTAGAGTTGAGGCAAGACAGGCCCAAAACAAGTTAACAACAGTCTTAATGTTATACTAAGAAATTTGGTGTCTATCCTGTAGCCATTAAAGTCTTTTACTCAAGGGAAAGGGACGCCCCAAACTTCTTTTAGAAAGGCTCAGGGAACAGAAAAGTTTCAAGACAGAAGAAGTGGGAGACAGGAGGTTACTGAAGAAGTCAATTGAAGAGGGCTGTAGAAGTAGATGTAGAAGGGGATGAAAGAGAATAATTAATTGGAAATAATCTTAATGTCTAAAAAGAGAAACGATAAAATTCGTGTACATTAACTCAATAAAATTTATAAAGGTACTTAATATGAACATTAGACATGGATACGAAAACAAAACATATCATTGAATATGGACTGAGCCCAGAAGACAAACAAAAATGAAATCTGACGCATGATGATAGTAAGATGTATGGTGATCTATTTCTCTCTAAAAATTCCTTTAATGTCATTGCAAAATCTTTACAAGTTTAAAAAATTTATCTAGATTCAAAGTGCAAAGAAGTAAAGACAAAGTGAAAGAGGCTATGAAGCTACGTCCAAGAGAGGCACAAAGACCCAGGGAACATCACTGCCAAAAAGAAAAAGAAATTCTATTTCCCTCCATCTCCTTTATTCCTAAGCAGTATATTCACTTATTCTAATTTTCAAACTGAAGTTTCTTTCCTCAAAGTCCGTTCTTTCAGCCCCTACAGAAGTTACAGATCCAGATTTTCTATTTTTCTTTCTTTTTTTTTTTCTTTTTGAGTCCGGTTCTCCCTCTGTTGCCCAGGTTGGAGTGCAGTGATGCAATCCTGGCTCACTGCAACCTCTACCTCCTGGGTTCAAGTAACCATCCCACCTCAGCCTCCCCAGTAGCTGGGACTACAGGTGTGCACCACACTTGGCTAATTTTTGTATATTTTGTAGAGGCGGGATCTTATCATGTTGCCCAGCAATCCGCTCACCTCAGCCTCCCAAAGTGCTGAGATTACAGGCATGTACCACCGCACCTGGCCCCCTAATTTTCTATTCTTCTATTATTGTTCATTACACTGTAAGTATTGCTCTTCAAATGCCACATTAGATACAAGTACAACAGGATATAAACACTTGCCCTACACATATTTTAATGATCAGTAGTATTTATAATTGAGACTTTTAGACATTATCTGAGCCTCATATATCTCTAGTTACAGTCACTGGATTTTCTCAACAGAAAAGCAGAAGACTATATTTTAAAATTTTATAATATGTTTCATTGGGGTTTGAAACAAAATGGGGTGGGAAGAGGAGTTTTCTACTCTACCTAGAGTTAACAAAAAAACTAGAATTAAGGAGTCAAATATTTAATACATAACTAAAATGTGCTTCCCTCCACAGCATTCTAGCTAATCCAGGTTTTAACCATACTTGAAATCAGTCCACCACAGTCTTGATCTACCATAGTTACTACTAGACATAGTGTGATCTTGACTTTGAAGTGATATATTATAACTTATATAAATGGTGCCTAGATATTTTAGTGACAAATAGCCTCTGTGCAGTACTTTATTTTTTAGCTTTAAATATTTAGGTTTAATAATTATCTAGTTTAGAGACAGTAGAAGTTGTAAGGAAAGCTATAGAAGTAACATTTGGAAAAACTTTAGAAAGGGTAGGCCAATATGTCCTGGAATTATTTAGGTACAACCCACACAAGAATAGATCGAAATTAATAAATGATATTACTAAATCATTTAAATGTATACTGCCCTAAAACTTCACTATCCAACAGATTCATCATATCTTAGGACAGCAAAGGAACCAAAGAAAAATGGGTTTTAAGAAAAAATAAAAGCAACTTACTTGTACTGCATATTTGTAAAACTGCTCTGATAGTTCTCCCAGCTCCTCCCTCATTTTACAGGTGTTGGGAAACTCCTCAAGTCGGTCCAACTGCTCAACTTCAGCAATGGGATATGGCTTCTCTTTTAAGACCTGTACAATCTGGAAACGGCATAGGCCGGTAATCAACAGAGTGTAGTGGGGCTTGGGCCAGTTACTGCCCACAACCTGAACAGCCAGTGCAGCCGTCCCGATCCTGAAAAACACACAGAACATCGTATTACAAATATTCAATATGGTAAACAGAAACTCACTTCAAAAAATGTTGGCTTTTCTGATAAATTCATATTAAGCAAAGAACATCTGAAGTGTAAACAAATTATTTCTCGATTTAACTGAGCATCCAGTATGTGGTCTCTTTGACACTACCCTCAGCTATAAGGCAAAACAAACCATCTCACTATAATCAGCACCTCTTTTAAAAAATTAGGTAGGAATTTGTAAACATTTTATTATTCAGGCATAAAAATGTAAGAGAAAAGTAGCTGAAAATTAAATAGCTTAAATTAATGTTGCCAACTAAGAATAAGGCAATCTTACACCAGGATAAATATTATCAATTTGAATAGATTTAAATATAAATAGCATAAACCAATCTAAGAAATCTCTGTTCCAACACCAGTTGTGCTACTAACATCAGGTCAGTTTTCTTACATAATCAATCTATGAAATTTCTACATACCCACCTTATCACAAACTGCCATCACAATCTGGGAACTTACATATATATATATGCCCTTAACACTGAATTTCTAAGTGTGAGAGCTAAATATTATAGTCCACACACTGGCACAGACTGAGGAAAGCTAAAGACCCACATCTCAAAAGGTCTCAACTTAGTTCTAAGCGGTAATCACTTCACCTAATAGGTGAAAAAGCTTTATTTAAGTCTCAGCTCCTCATCAGCATACAGAATTCTGACAAGTCACATATAAATTTAATTCACAGAAAGGAAGCCTCATCCAAACTAAGCCAGTCATATAAAATATAAAAACCAGCATTCAGAACCCAAAATAAATAGTATTTTCTCTCTTCAGCCATAGGAAAAGTGGTAATTCTAGAAAAGAAACCAGGACTAGAACTCTCAACACCCTGGGAAAGATGTAATGGAAGAACAATTATCTCAAAGATAATAAATCATACAATACAGTATGTGAATATGTGAGTGAACTTGCTTACTTCTAAACACAGTGAATTCTTGATTACTTCCTTATAAATTATTCATTCCGTGGATTACACATAGCCTTTGGCTTCTTTCTGCCACTCTACTTATTTTGAACCATGTCCATCCTTTCTTACCTTTCAATCATTATTATGTTTACAATAAAAACTGATTTAAATAGGAACTTAAGCCAAACAACTGAGAAGATAAATTGGTGAGAGAAAAAAATCACAGACATAAAAAACTTGAAATGATTTGGCAATTAGTTATTATTTTGATTTATTTGTGTTGTGGCTCCCTTTCTTCAATAGTAGGTTATATTTCACACTTCCTGAAAGCCCACTCAGATTGCCTGAGAAAGTGAGCCACATCTAAACTGTTTAGAGAACAACTTAAACCATAATTCACTGCAGATGATATTCATCAACATTTGCACAATGCTGAAAGAGCTCACAGTCCTGTTTGTATATAAAACACCCACAGACAAGAAACTGGATCCCCAGCCTAAAGGGTTTACAAAGTAGAAAGCAAGGAGAAACCAGAGAGATGAGACAAATCCAAACCTCCAGATCAGGAGACACAATTAATTGAGCTACGTCACTGCTAAAAGGTGACGCTAAAAAGAGGTGCTTTTTTGTTTCATTTTGTTTTGTTTTTTGAGACAGAGTCTTACTCTCTCACCGGGCTGGAGTGCAGTGGTGTGATCTTGGCTCACTGCAACCTCTGCCTCCTGGGTTCAAGCAATTCTCCTGCTTCAGCCTCCTAAGTAGCTGGGACTACAGGCCCGTGCCACCACACCCAGCTAATTGTATTTTTTGTAGAGACAAGGTTTCACCATGTTGGCCAGGATGGTCTCGATCTCTTGACCTCATGATCTGCCCACCTTTGCCTCCCAGCGTGCTGGATTACAGGTGTGAGCCACTGCAGTGTTTTGTTTGTTTGTTTAGGGACGCAGTCTCACTCTGTTGCCCAGGCTGGAGTGCGATGGCGTGATCTCCGCTTACCACAACCCCTGCCTCCCGGGTTCAAGAGATTCTCAGGCTTCAGCCTCCCGAGTAGCTGGGGTTACAAGCGAGCACCACCATGCCCGGCTAATTTTTGTATTTTTTGTAGATAGGGTGTTTCACCATGTTGACCAGGCTGGTCTCGAACTCCTGACCTCAGATGATCCACACTCCTCAGCCTCCTAAACTGCTGGGATTACAGGTGTGAGCCACCATACCCAGCCAAAAGGGGTTTTCTTGTAAAGCAAATACAATGTTTTTGCTGTAAAAGGATTGTTCCAGACTGAAGAGTTTAAATTGAACTAATACTATGCCTACAAAATATACTGAGGTTTTAAATGTCTTAATTGCTTTTTACTTAAAATCACTTATAGTTGGCTAGAGTATTTTATTCCTTCAAAAATATCTTTTTTCTTTCTTTTTTTTTTTTTTTTAACAGAGATGGGTCTCATTATGTTGACCAGGCTGATCTCAAACTCCTGGCCTTAAGCATTCCTCCCATTTCAGCCTCCCAAAGTGCTAGGATTACAGGCATGAGCCACTGTGCCCAGCCTAGAATATATTCCTTTTAAAGCAAAACATGATCTGTGAAATTATAGATGGCTAGAAACAGAGTACCTGGTGAAAGGCATTTTGGGTGAAAAACATAGTGAAAAAGAATCTATTGTATAGATTCTTTTTATATATACAAATAGGAAAACAAAATATTCAACTAATACTTTCCTTCTATGATACACAAAAGGTTGTATATCATACAAAAGGATGTATATCAAGTTATCATTTACAAAAGGTTGTGTATCAAGTCAGTCATTTTTCTAAACATTCTGGCTTTTCTACTATATGCGTATTATTAAGTATGATCAAAAGGCAGCATTTTAATTTTGCAACAGATCCAAATTTATACATACCAATATGTGGTGTCCTTCTCTTTAGGTAGTAGCTCGGTAATTCTAGCCTCCAATTATTATGATATTGTTCAAAGAAGTTTCGAAACTCCTAACTTGAATCTACCCTTAGAGTTTCTAAAATACTGTTTTAATCCAAATGATATCTGACTACAATGGTTACAATTTGTGTAATTTGAAAACTAACTAAATAATATAAGAGTTCCAAACATGTTTAAGAACCATCAACTGCAGTAGTGGGAAAATCTAAAAGCAGCACTACTGGAAAAAGCAGTTTTCCAAGATGAGGATATTATGTAAATATCTAATTCCGGCCTATATGCCCAGCACTCGATTTTCTTTTTTTTTCCCTGTAGACAGAATCTTCCTCTGTCACCAGGCTGGAGTGCAGTGGTGTGATCATAGTTCACTGCAGCTTCAATCACCTGGGCTCAAGTAATCCTCCCATCTCAGCATCATAAGTAGCTTTCACTACAGGCATGTGTCAGCAGACCCAGCCACTTTTTAAACATTTTTTTACTTAAAGCCCTTGATTTTTCTTGGGATTTTTATTTTTTCAAGACCTTCCTGCAATGATGCTAGCCCCGTTCAGCCCATGTTGGAATAATATGGGGCCTCCCCACTCCTCTCTTTAATCCTCTTTTGTGAAAATCTACATTTAAAACTACCCATTTGGGGAATAAGCATACCACTGGGATATAGGTTTAGAATGATTGGCAGTTTCAAAAGGCTTTCATATGCACACTTCATTTTACACCTCCTTTCACCCCATGAAGAAGGTGGTATTATTTCCTTATTACAAGTGAGTAAATGAGATTCAAAAAGGTAGAACATGACATTGGGGCTCACGCCTGTAATCCCAGCACTTTGGGAGGCCAAGGCAAGTGAATTGCTTGAGTTCAGGAGTACAAAACCAGCTTGGGGAGCATGGCAAACCCCTGTTTCTACCAAAAAAAAAAAATAGCTGGGCATGGTGGTACGTGCCTGTAGTCCCAGCCACTCTGGAGGCTGAGGTGGGTGGATCACCTGAACCTGGGAGGCAGAGGATGCAGTGAGCCAAGATGGCACCACTGTACCAGCATGGGTGACAGAGTGAGACCCTGTCTCAAAAAAATAAAAACAGAACTTAGTTATACATGGTTACAAGAAAATTTAATAGAAATAAATTTAAATTGAAAACTTAAAAGATAATTTAATAAGAGTTCCTTAATTATATTTTAAGACAAATTTTACTTTTTTGTCCAACACAATGGACAATAGGTACCACCTGTACCTATAAGAATTATAAACAAAGGCCAGGCACGGTGGCTCATGCCTGTAATCCTAACACTTTGAGAGACTGAGGCAGGAGGATCACCTGAGCCCATGAGTCTGACACCAATCTGGTCAACATAGGGAGACCACATCTCTACTTTTTTTTTTTTTTTTTTTTTTTTGAAACAGCGTCTTACTCTGCTATCCAGGCTGGAGTGTAGTGGCACAATCACAGCTCACTGCAGCCTAGACCTCTCTGGCTCAGGCAATCCTCCCACCTCAGCAACCTCAAAAGCTGGGATTACAGGCATGTGCTACCATGCTTGGATAAATTTTTTTTTTTTTTTGGTAGAGACGGGTCTCCCTATGTTGCCCAGGCTGTCTTGAACTCCTCACTTCAAGTGTTCTTCCTGCCTCGACCTTCCAAAGTGCTGAGATAACAGGTATAAGCCAATGTATCTAGCTTCTCATTCTTTCTTAAAACTTCATTTCTAAATAGAAGAAATTCCACTTGTATATCATAGACCTTCCTTAAGAAGAGTAAATGAAGATTTAGGAAAATCAGATTAAATTTTAAAATTCTGCTATTATCAGGTAGTATTTCTTGAATGCCTAAGAATTCTAAGAATAGAAATAGAAATAATGTATGGACAAAGAATTGATCCAACTTATGAAACTGTGTACCTGTTATACATAAGGCATTAATAGTTTGTTAGACAAACACTGATGAAACTTAGCCGGAGTCTTACTGGTAAGAAGCAAGCCAACAAAGAGGGGGACTGAGAAGTCAGCACTATGATGAAATGAAGCCATGTACCTTGAAGAGTGTAAATTTTGAAGAAGACTGGACGACCATCTTGAAATGCTTGAAAAGATGTTGTACAGATAGTGCTAAATTATTACCCCTTTTCACTAAGAAAACAATGGGTCACTCAGGAGGCACTAAAAATGCAGTTCAACTAAGCAGAAAAATGCAGGATGCCCTGGGTCAGCACACCAGCCAAGTTCTATACTGCAGGCCAAGTCCAAAGCTCCTCCTTTAAAAAGGCTCCCGCAGGCAACATGTCTGCACACTAACGTGAAGAAAGGGACTGTACTACTCAAAACTACCAAGGAAGTGGCAGAGGTAAGTCACCATCTGACCCTGCCACTCTGTGTGGCAAAGAACGCTGGGGGCAAATTACTTCTGCTGCTCCTTGAAGGTTGTGGCCAGTGTCACCTGGATGGTGTAAAGGAAACAAGAGACAGGAACAGAGACCCTCATCTTGTCTCTGGGCTACCATACGGAAAAGCAGGTAACTGGGGCAGGACAGATCTGTGCATGGAAACAGACTAATGCTATGGATAACTCAGTATTTGTATTATTAAAGTTTTTTTTTTTTTTAAGTAGAGTATTTTAAAGGCCATATTAGAGAAAAAAAGGCATTGGAAACTATTACCAAGGAATATGGTACAATCCTTCCACACAGGCTTTTAAAGTACCAACTTCTAGGATAACTAGATGGTCTAATGGGTTCTTATAATGCTGGAATTCTATGAAGAGTTTTCAATGCATGTTTTCTAATTTAAATGACTAAATTTTAACATTGTTACTTATTTAAAACAAAGGCAATGATATGAACATCAAGGATCAGATTAGAAGTATCTGATTATTAGTGATTACTTCCAAGCAGGAGAATTGAGAATTGTTGTTCTGGAGGGATTTTCATAAAAGAAATAAAAAACCTGCAGGGTGTGGTGGGGCTTGCCTATAGTCCCAGCTACTCCTGAGGCCAAAGGAGGAGATAACGTGAGTCCAGGAGTTTGAGACCAGCCTAGGCAACATAGCGTGACCCTATCTCTACAGAAAATTTAAAAATTAGTTGGGGGTAGTGGTGCACACCTGTAGGCCCCAGCAAACTAAGTGCCTGGGCACAGAAGGCAAAAAATCATGGGAAAAGTAAGCAGAGGTTTAAGGAGCAGGGTCGTATGTTGGTAAACTAAAATCCAACACAATTTATCAAAGAGTACTTAAACTTGAAATGTGACCAATTCCTTTCAGGCAATAACTAAAGCAGGTATGATGGGGGCCAAGATATTTTCCACGCTTGCAAAAGGCAAGGCTTTTACAATATAAACGAATACTGGGCTGTTGTGGAAGGTTTGTCGGTCTTTGTTGCTTTGTTTGGCTTTCTTTTATCGTGGGGGGGGGGGCGGGAATGGGGCGGTTGGGGGAGGTACCAGTCTCCTTCGAAAATCTGAAGAAAGCAAAGGATTCTCCTTAAAAAACTGTACATAGTCGGCCGGGCACGGTGGCTCGAGCCTGTAATCCCAGCACTTTGGGAGGTCGAGGCGGGTGGATCACGAGGTCAAGAGATCGAGACCATCCTGGTCAACATGGTGAAACCCCATCTCTACTAAAAATACAAAAAATTAGCTGGGCATGGTGGTGCGTGCCTGTAATCCCAGCTACTCAGGAGGCTGAGGCTGGAGAATTGCCTGAGCCCAGGAGGCGGAGGTTGCGGTGAGTCGAGATCGCGCCATTGCACTCCAGCCTGGGTAACATGAGTGAAACTCCGTCTCAAAAAAAAAAAAAAACTGTACATAGTCACAAGATTTTGAAGAAAAATAAGGCATATCTAACCCTCTGGAAATCCATTCAGTCAGGAACCACTAATTTAAAAATAAGAGATAACTGCCAGGGAAGGAGAAGCTCTAAAATGAAAACACAGCACCTCCAGTAGAGTTAAAGAAAGGAGGTGGGTACTTGGGAATGAGTTTGAAGATTATTTGTTGACAGCGTATTATTTTACCAGCACTGTCCAACAAAAATATAATATGAGCCACATGCAACATTTTAGTGGCCACATTACAAAAACAGCAGAAATCTTAATTTTTTTTTTAACCCAAGTACCCAAATTTTACCATTCCAACATTTAATCTATGTAAAATTCACTAATCAAAAAGTGTTTTCAAAATCTGGTGTGTATTGCACACTTAACAGCACATTTAGAGTGACCAAACTCCTAGTTTCCCTGAGACGGAGGGGCTGAAACATAGGACTTTCAATGCTATAACAGACAATCCCAGCAAACCAGGACAATTGGCCACTCTGGTATCTCAATCTGACGAGCCACATGCACTACACACTATTGGACCGCACAGTCATTTAACAACCATGGTGCAAAGCGGAATGCACACATTATTCAATGTATTTTTCATAACGTGCCTAAGAGATGGATGCTGCCAGTTTCTAAACTACAGACTAAAAGAAACAGAGGTTAAGGCTCTCACCCGAAGTCACACCAATAGGGCGACAGTACTGGAGAATGCAATAGTAAGCCTGGGGCCTAAGAAATGTTATGAGTGAAGGAGCAGAGGTGAGAAGCTAGGAAAGTTCCAGAAAGGGGGACCAGCGAAAATGTGAGCAGGAAAGGCCCTTAACAAAGGGAAACAGAAGTATTAGAGGGAGAAGAAAAAACATGGCAGGGAGTATAGAAGAAAGGCACCCACAAATACTGCAATTTAGGATGAAACAGGAAAAAGTTAAAACTTATGGAGCAGAGAATGTCTCAGTGGACAAAAATGATGGGTGAGAGAAAAAGGGAACCGGATAGGAAGAAACTGCAGTGGGGAGGAAGGTGGAAAGCGAAGGAAAGTGAAGGCAGAGATCACCAGAGGAAAGAAAGGGTCTGGAAAGTTAAGAGCACTGGTCTAGGAGGCTGAAGACCGAGGGCGAGGAATTGCAGGATCGGTGGTGTGTGTGGGGGGGGGTGGGGGGTGGAATTCAAATTAAATTATCCACAGCGGCAGGAAACTGTATAGTTTCACCAGGTGTCAGGCACCACTTCATGAACGATCTCATTCACGGTCACGGGGAGGCTCTCCGTCATCTCCATTCTGCATGGGAGGCATAACCGAGCGGCGAAGTCCGCCCCGAACCGAGCCTCACGCTCAAGGCCGGCAGCGGACTGGGCCGGAATGCCCGCAGGAGGCCGCGCCGCCTGCCGCCGCCGCGGGGGCTGCCAGGCCTACCTGTGCAGCGGTGGCAGGTCCTGCGCGTCGCTGGCGGGGTCAGGCGTGTTGGGGATGACGCCCAGAATGGTGCTCTGCAGCGACGTGCCCTTCAGCAAGCGGCTCCGCACCAGCTGCAGGTTGCGGGCCGAGTCCACGCTAGTACGCATGGTGGAGCCGGGCAGCAGGACGCCCTCGTGAGTGAGCAGCAGCGGGAGGCGGCTGGGGATCTGGATGGGGCTCACTGAAGACATGGTGGCAGCCGTTTGCACAGGGGCTGTCAAAAGGAGCAGGACAGACAGCTGCCCGCGACCTACCCCGCTGCCTCCAAACCTCAGAGCTGCCTACGAGCCTCTGCTTCCGGCCCCGCGCTACGGTCAGCCCCCGGGTCCAAACGCTGTCGCTTCGCGCTGCCCTATCGCGGAGCCTCCTGGTAAGACTTGCGCGTCGTACATATGCGAAAGGAGGCGCACTAAGAGGCGCACTCAAGCACACTCAAGCCTTCGCCTGACTTACAGAGTATGTTTGGAAGGATGACCTCATTTGAATTGTATATTCTTGAAGTGTTTTTAACTTTTGATTCTAACTGATGTTTGTTTGTTTATTTTGAGACAGACTCTCGCTCTGTCGCGGAGGCTGGAGTGCAATGGTGCTATATCTGCGCCCTGCAGCCTCCACCTCCTGGTTTCGAGCAATTCTCCTGTCTTAGCCTCCCGAGTAGCTGGGATTACAGGTGCCCGCCACCACACCCAGCTAATTGTTGTATTTTTAGTAGAGAGGAGATTTCACCATGTTGGCCAGGCTGATCTCGAACTCCTGACCTCAAGTGATCCGTCCACCTAGGCCTCCCAAAGTGCTGGAATTACAGGCGTGAGCCAACGTGCCTGGCCCAATTTTATTTTAGATACACAAAAACACAGCAAAGAGTTCCTATACACCTTTCACCCAGTTTTGCCTGTTACCATCTTAAATAATCATAGTTCAATTATCAAAACCAGGAAATTAACATTACTGTCATGTAACCTATAGACCTTACCCACATTTTGCCAGTTTTCCCACTAATGTCCTTCATTGGATCTGGTCCAGGATCCAATATCCAGGATCCCACTCTATTTTGTCATGAACTCTCCTAGGTATCCTCTAATCTGTGGCAATTCCTCAATATTTTTTTGTCTTTTAAAACCTTGATACTTTTAAAGAATATCAGTCAGTTATTTTGTAGGAGTTCATTCAATTCGAGTTTATCTACTGTTTCTCATGATTAGATCAATGGTATGCATTTTGGCGCCAAATACCATAAAAGTGATGTTGTCGCCATGTGACATATGATGAAATGTCTTATTTAATGATGAGTTGAATCTTTACTTGTCAAGTGAAGGTGATATCTGTCAAATTTGTTCACTGTAAGTTACTATTTTTCTCTTTGTAACTACTAAGTATTGTGTAAGGAGATAATTTTACATTTATTTGTTTATTTTTCCTTCAATTTTTATTAGGCTTGTGCAAAAGTAATGGCAAGAAACTACAATTACTTTTGCACCGAGCTAATATTTTAAGTTCCAGGGTACATGTGCAGGATGTGTAGGCTTGTTATGTAGGTAAACATGTGCCGTGGTGGTTTGCTGAACAGATCAATCCATTACCTAGGTATTAAGCCCAGCATCCATTAGCTATTCTTCCTGACACTCTTTCTGTCCCTACCCCTTCCCTCTTCACGTCCCATTGTGTATTGTTCCCCTACCATGTGTTCTTATCCTTCAGCTTCCACTTATAAGTGAGAACATGCAGTGTTTGTTTTTCTGATCCTGTTAGTTTGCTGAGGGTAACAGCTTTCACCTCCACCCATGTCCCTGCAAAGGACATGATCTCATTCCTTGTCATGGCTGCATAGTATTCCATGGTGGATATTTACCATATTTTCTTTATCCAGTCTATCATCGATGGGCATTTAGGTTGATTCCATGTCTTTGCTATTGTGAACAGTGCTGCAATGAGCATACATATGCATGTATCTTTAAAGTAAAGTGATTTATAGTCCTTTGGGTATATACACCGTAATGGGATTGCTGGGTCAAATGGCATTTCTGCCTCTAGATCTTTGAGGAATTGCCATACTGTATTCCACAATGGTTAAACTAATTTACACTCTTACCAACAGTGTAAAAGTGCTCCTTTTTCTCTGCAACCTCATCAGCATCTATTGTTTCTGGACTTTTTAATAATTGCCATTCTGACTGGTGTGAGATGGCATCTCAATGTGGTTTTGATTTGCATTCTGTAATGATCAGTGATATTGAGCTTTTTTTTCATGTTTGCTGGTCACATGAATATCTTCTTTTGAGAAGCGTCTGTTTATGTCCTTTGCCCACTTTTTAATGAGGTTGTTTGTTTTTTTTCTTGTAATTTTTTTTAAGTTCCTTGTAGATTCTGGGTACTAGGCTTTGTCAGATGGCTAGATTGCAAAATTTTTCTCCCATTCTCCCAACCTGTGTTGCCTGTTCACTCTGATGGTAGTTTCTTTTGCTGTGCAGAAGCTCTTTAGTTTAATTAGATCTAATTTGTCAATTTTTGCTTTTGTTGCAGTTGCTTTTTTGTTTTCATCATGAAATCTTTGCCCATGCCTATGTCCTGAATGGTATTGCCTAGATTTTCTTCTAGAGTTTTTATAGTTTTGGGTTTTACATTTAAGACTTTAATCCGTCTTGAGTTAATTTTTGTATAAGGTGGAAGAAAGAGGTCCAGTTTCTGTTGTCTGCATATGGCTAGCCAATTCTCCCAGCACCATTTATTAAATTGGAAATCCTTTCCCCACTGCTTGTTTTTGTCAAGTTTGCTGAAGATCTGGTGGTTGTAGGTGTAATTTTACATTTATTATTTAGAATTCTACTGTAAAAAAGAGCTGTTTCATCTCCCCCATGTATTTACTTACTCATTTACTTTTATATGTTAGTATGGTCTCATAGATATTTAGTTTTTATGGATTCTAATCCAATAATGTTGTGGGGCTTTTTTGCTTGAATTGTTTTGGATTTGACCATTCCTGCATGTTGAGATTTGATTTGGGTTTGGCCTTAGGTTTCAGGGGGAGTATTTTCTTCAATATGAAGTCCAGCAATGCTTTTGGAATTCTGGAAGGAAATGAAAGTCCATCCATATCAAGAGTTATTTGCTGAGGGACTTCTCAGTGCCAGGCCCTGAGCTAATTGCAGAGAAGTAGATGGGTCCCAAAACAAGGTCCTAATCTCAAACATCTCTCAGTCAGGAGAACAGATCCATAAACATCTGAGTATGAGGTAGGGCAGACAGAACTATGTGTTTACATGTGTGCAACAGATAAGGGAAAGAAGAAATCAGGTTACTAAGTGCTGTGGGAGTGAGATAAATACAGGATCTTAGAAGCTCCTGCCTAAAGCACTTTATCTGACAGGATCCCACCTTCTTTCATTCATTCACTGAACATTATCACTTTGCTTAATATTCATTTCAGTAATCATTCACTAAAAATATTTTTTGAACACTGATGATGTGCTGGACAATAGTCTAGGTAATGGGGGATACATCAGGGAATGAGACAGACAAGGTTTCTGCTTTCATGAAGCTGACATTCTAGTGGGAAAAACAAACAATAAACAAGGAAAGAAATAAGGAAAATTTTTTTTTCTGGATAGTATTAAGCCTTTTAGATGGTCAGGTAAGGCCTCTCTGAAAAGACGACATTTGAACTGATCCCTGCACTGTGAAAAAGCATAGATCGGCCAGGCGTGGTGGCTCACGCCTGTAATCTCAGCACTTTGGGAGGCCGAGGCGGGCGGATCACCTGAGGTCAGGAGTTCAAGACCAGCCTGGTCAACATGGTGAAACCCTGTCTTAAAAAAAAGAAAAGAAAAAGTATAGATCAACGTGAAGATTAGGGGGTGGGGGCCAAGGGCACTGTTCCAGGCAGAAAAAGCAGCACTTGCAAAGACTTTGTGGCTAGAATGAATTTAGGGTGTTTGAGAAACCTGTTCCTGGAATGTCTGAGCTTGGGACCTAGTGGTTCCAGCTGCAATAAGGTGAGCAGGGTCAGATTATAGAGGGCTATGTAGGCTCTGGTAAGGAGTTTGGGTTTTACTCTAAACCTGATGGAAGCCATTGGAGAGATCAAGTTGAGGAATAACATTATCTGGCTTATATTTTCAAAAGTTCATTTTGGGTGCAACGTGGAGAATGGAATGTAAGGACTTAAGATCAAAAGCAGAGAGGCCGATGAGAAGGTGGTTGCAGTTATCCAGGTAAGAAGTGATGACTTAGACTAGGAGCAGGTGCTGTCAAGCTATATTTGATTGTAACTTCAAGAGAATAGGCTGTTGGATTGGACATGAAGATTTAGGGAAAAACAATTGAGAAGGATTATCCTAGGTTGGGGCCTTAGCCACCAGGGCCTGGAGAAACGTTGAGCCAGTAGCTGAAGATCCTGGCTATAATCAAGTTTTCGATCACTTCTCTGAATGTATATAAGGTACCCTACCCTGTGACAGACTCTGGGGGTGATACAGAGATAAAACATATGTAGCCCAGATCCTCAAGCACTTACCTGTTCATTAAGGGTCTCTCCAAGGGTAAGAGGGGAGGGACTGCATTCTTTCAGGCTTCCAGAGTTTTAACAAAGAACTTCTAAAATCAGCTTACCAATGTTATGGTATATTTTGAAAACACTAATGTTTAATGCTTTTAACCCACTGTGCCTGAGGTTGCACTTTTTTGAACTTTTGTAATCTGACCTTGGTGATGACCTTGAGCAGTAGGATATAAATAACTCTCTCATGCTTAGTGTTCCAATAATGGAACACTAGGCATAAATGGCCTAATACATACACATGCCACAACAACCATTCATACGATAAACAATACTGTATGAATGTTCTGTTCCCATAATAATTGCTGGATTTAGTTTTTAAAATGCAAATTAATGCTGCTCTATAGAAGATGTGGTGTGGTATGGAAATAGTCCCAAGTTTAACCTGCCTGTCTGATGAAAACCCTCATTCAATCCTGTCACTGTATCTCTCTGATGGGATGTGTCACCCCACTTGGGAGAACATTAAAAATTTAAATGTGAAGTCTTCTGTGACTCTGTGGCTCTCCCAGCTCCTTTTTTTTTTGGACAGGTTCTGCATGTACGTCATTCATTTATTCATCAAGTATTTGTTACGCATATACTATGTGCTGGGCACTCTTCTATATCTAAGGACACATCTGTGAACAAGACAGAGAAGGTCTCTGGTTTCAAAGAGCTTACATTCTCATGAGGTATGCAGAAAACAAATAAGCCAATAAGGAAAGAAATGGCAATTTCAGAATGTAATGAGTAAACGTAGTAGAATAGGAAAATATGCAGAAGGTGTGTGGAGAGAGGGAATCTGGGAAGGTTATTCTGAGGAGCTGGCATTTCAGTTGAGTCCTGAATGTCAAGAATGAACCAGTTCTGTAAAGAG